AAACGGTTTCTCTGTGTAGCCCTGGCTGTCCTGGTCTTGAACTCACAGAGATCCACCTGCCTCTGCCTCCTGAGTGCTGGGATTAAAGGTGTGCGTCACCACTACCCAGCATCTTTTTTATTTTACATACAATTTTCTCACATTGTATCTAAGTTGGTCTGAAACACTAGTCAGCCTCTCAAGTGATGGATGGTACTATAAGTCTGTTACCACACCTAGTTTCCAAAGGTAACAACATCCTTTAAAGAAAAATATTTTGAACCACAGAAAGGCACTGTGAGGCCAGCAAGATAGCTCAGTAGTAAGTAGGCTGGTAGAGTGGATAAGGACGTCGGCCACCAAGCCTGATGTTGAGTTCGGTCCCTGGGACAAGGTAGAGGGAGGGAATGCTGACCTTTTCAGCCCTATACAACGGATTAAAAATTCTTAAAGACCCTTAACAAAATTAGACTTTGTCCCATGGTTTTCAACTCTTCCTTCAGAGCGTTCTAACTTACTTTGAGATAGGGTCTTGAACTGGCTGAAGCTGATCTTAGTGCTTCCACCTCTGGAGTGCTCGGGTTCAGACCTGTGTGCTACCACTCTGATGTGGGGGTGCTAAGGATCAAAGGCAAAGCTGCTGCGGGCAAGGCGGGTACTCGGAAACTGGGGTACATCTTCAGAACCCCCTTCCAGGCTCTTCTGTTATCTTCTAAGTGGAGTCCGTGAGGGAAGGGACAGTTGTAGAGAGAATGGTATTTAGGCGGGGGTGGGGTGGGGGGTGGTAGTACACACCTTGGCAGCAGTGGGGAGGCAGAGGCAAGTGAATCTCTCGAGTTTGAGGCCAGCTGGATCTACACAGCAAGTTCTAGGCTAGCCAAGGCTACATGTTGGAACCCTGTCTCAAAAAATGGTATTTTAGTTTAGCACTTCATACATATTTTAGAATAACCAGCATCAGCACTCTTTTTATTATTGCCATTTGCATTTATTGATGAACACAAATAGGGTTTAAATTGACTTCCACCTCCACCCCCACCCCCCCAAAAAAAAAGCTGATTTGATCAAAGCTTTGATGAAGATGCTGTGTATTAGCATCTTGGCTTTGTGTTAGTTGAGACAGTGAAAAGGCGTTTCAAGAAATACAGCTGAAGGACCCCGGAAAGAACAATGGCAAGGCTCTGAGCTGCGGACCACCAGTTCACATAGGTGTAGTTGGACTGGAGAAGGAAAAAATCAGCCACTTTCCTCATCCTGGCAAAGTTGTAGTAGCGCCACATGTGAAAAACATTGTTCTGTACCTTCCGTGTACTGTGCTGTGGGAAAGAGGAAAGCTGCGTTGGCTGCTAGCCGGGCCTCCCTTGCACTAAGTTCCCAAGTCCTATTACTCATGATTCTGACATCCATAGCGCCAGAGCAGTTGATAATAAAGAACACACTCCTTTAATCCCAGCACTTGGGAGGCAGAGGCAGGTGGATATCTGTGAGTTCAAGGCCAGATCCAGGATAGCCAGAGCTGTTACACAGAGAAACTCTGTCTTGAAAAAAACCGAAAGAAAAAAAAAAATGGTACTTTGGCTGTATTTGCAAAACTTTGCTGGGGTAGTTTTAAAGTTGGGAGGTGTGGGTGGGGGCTTGGGATGTACCTCAGTAGTAAGAAGGATTGCCTACTACCCAGAAAACTCAGCACCCTAAACACAGCCTTGCACATTTGAGGTAAACATTCTTATTGAGCTCAGACTCTGTGTAGCCAAGGATAATTTTGAATTCCTGATCTGCTCTGTTGAGGTTACGAGTATAAGTCCCTATAGGTGCCAGAAATAGTTGTAGAACAATAGATTAAGATGTATGCTCGGGGCTGGAGAGATGGCTCAGCAGTTAAGAACACCGACTACTCTTCCAGAGGACCTGGGTTCAATTCCCAGCACCCATATAGCAGCTAACAACTGTCTGTAATTCCAAGATCTGACACCCTCACACAGACATACATGCAAGCAAAACACCAATGCACACAAAGATAGATAAATTATTTAAAAAAAAAAAAAAGATGTATGCTCAGCCTGTCATTACCCTCCTAACTGATGTCTTCTCCCTACAAACTGTTAGGCTTATAAAGAAATACCTCTGGTGAAATGTGTCTTACAAGTACTAAATTTTTCCATTATAGCCCAAAAGCAGTCATAAATGATGTGTAACTGTCAAGCGAATGTGGCTCTGTTCCAATAAGATTTAGGTTTACAGAACACAAGCTTCTGTGTGCCAAGGAGACAAAGTGGTGGGAGAAGACGTGTGCAGATCACATGTCCGAGGGAGGCCATGTGTGCTGCTGGTGCTTGTACATACTGGGCAAGGGCCAGCTAGCACGGAGTTACAGCCCCAGCCCTGAGCAAAGGATCTGAATAGACATTTCTCCAAGATCTACAAAATGGTCAATAAGCATGTAAAGACAGTCTATCTATATATCTCCAGTTGTCCTATAACTTGCTCTGTAGGCTAGCTCAGACTCAGAGATCTGTCTGCCTCTGCCTGTGAGACCTGTTTTTTGGTGTGTTTGTTTTTAAGTAATCAAAATGGGGTAGTGGTGGTGCACGCCTTTAATTACTGCACTTGGGAGGCAGAGGCAGGCAGATCTCTGTGAGTTCGAAGCCAGCCTAGCCTACAAAGCAAGTTCCAAGACAGCCAGAGCTGTTACACAGAGAAACCCTGTCTCAAAAAAAAATAACTAAATAAATAAATAATCAAGCTGGGTATGGTAGCACATGCCTTTAGTCTCAGCACTAAAGAGATGGATGGAGCTCTGTAAGTTCAAGGCATAGTAAGACCTTGTCTCAAACAAAAGCCATGCTTTGTGAAAGAAGCCGCCACAAAGTCACATGTTTACAGAAAATTTCAAACAGAAAACCTATAGGAACAGTGCAACAGTGATTCTACTAGCATTGGGAGATGCTGGAGGGAATGCGGGCAGGCAGGATGTGCACAGAGTTTCTCTAGGGTGCATGAGATTGCTGTGCTTTAGGTACTGGGGTAGCTGCCCAACCTTGTGAATACATATGAAAACAGGCAGTGGGCAAGATGGAGCTGTAACGGGAGCTCCATGCTGCATGCTGCATGCTGCATGCTGCATGCTGCATGCTGCATTGGATTGTTCCACTCCTGTGGTTTCTATCCTGAGTCAGC